CCAAAAATAAATAAATAAATTTGTTTAAAAAAAAAAAAGAGTTAGCTAAAGAGTGTGTATCAACCAGAAAGTGGAAGTCCTTTATACTGAGCCAAAATCTGGTACTAGAGCCACCTAATGGCGGGTGGGACTGCATTGTGAGGGGCTGGGACTAGTGGCCCGAGTGGCCAAGCTAAGCCCGGAGCTGCACACAGTCCGTGGAGCCCCCTCCCCTACCCGAGGTGGCCTTTCAGGCCCTAAGATGACTCACTTGGTGCCTCAGCAATGCAGGCAGTTCCTGGGGAGGCTCGGGGTCCCTCCCCTAAAGGCACACGCTGGGCTTCTCCTCAGACACTCAGGCCTGCGGTCAGGGCTCTGACCCACAGAGCAGCGGGCCCTCGACGCTCGTCTGTCTTCTTTCCCAGACGCTTGTCTGCCGTGGACCGCGTGTGCCCTCCTGGGTGGGATCCCAGCAGCGTCCGGAGGGTCTGGGTGCTCATGAGATGAGGGATGTTGGAGGGCAGAGTTACTCGGACAATGTCAGCCCGGGAGATTCTGGGCTGTGTCACCTTGAAGGACAGTTTCTGCCCTCCCAGCCCTGGTGTCCCACCTATGAAGCAAGGGTGGACGCACTGAGATCTGGTGCCCTCTACCTCCAACACCCCCATCCCAGGGTGGCAAGGTGGGGTGTGTTGTTCTCGCGTCACTGTGGGAGCAGGGGCCCGGGCACCTGTCACAGGACACACATTCATTCCACTCAGGTGCTTTAAGTTCAAGAGGGCGTGCCCAGAGCCCCCCAGCTCCCTGCCCTTTCCCTGAGTCGGCCTGGGTCAGCCTCTGTTAGGCTTCTCTCCAGGGAGCAATCCTGGGCGTAGAGACGGCTCCTTACTTTACGGAGGCACCAGCTGCTCTGTGTTTGCTCTTTTCACTAAACCATGACCTTGGCCCTCCCTGTCAGTCATTCTCAGTGTCTACAGCACCCCGTGGTGTGGATGCGTCATAACTTATCAACCAGCCCGAGTGGGTGGGCATTGAACTTGTTCTGCGTTTTTGCTTTTCGAGCAGGGCTGTGCTGAGTGACAGTGACAAACAGGGACTCTGGAGTGACTTGCATCATTGTCCTGCCCTTGGTGGTGGCCGAGAGGGAGGGGACTTTCAGCATTTGCTGGGTGAGGAGGTTAGGAGGATGTGGTCCCTAAAGCCTGGGCCTGGCCGGACTGGTCATCTGCTGGGGGTGGCCCCTGCCAGGCCAGCGAGGCCATCTACATTGGAGGGTTTGACAGGAAGCCCCTTCTCTCTGCCTCTCCCCTCAGAAGCTGTTGTGCAAGCTGCTGAGTTTTGCAAACACCCTGAGAGATATTTTTTTTTTTTTTGGCTGTGGTGGGTCTTTGTTGCTGCACACAGGCTTTTCTCTAGTTGTGGCAAGTGGGGGGTCTACTCTTTGTTGCAGTGCGTGGGCTTCTAAGTGCAGTGGCTTCTCTGGTTGCGGAGCACGGGCTCTAGGCACGCGGGCTTCAGTAGTTGTGGCACGTGGCCTTCAGTAGTTGTGGCTCATGGGCTTCAGTAGTTGTGGCACGTGGGCTCAGTAGTTGTGGCTCGTGGGCTCTAGAGCGCAGGCTCAATACTTGTGGCACATGGGCTTAGTTGCTCCACGGCATGTGGGATCTTCCCAGACCAGGGTTCGAACCTGTGTCCTCTGAATTGGCAGGCGGATTATTAACCACTGCGCCACCAGGGAAGCCCCTGAGCGGTATTTTGCACCTCCCCGCTCACCGCAGGCTGGTGTTGAGCCATGAAGCTCCGGAGTCCAGGGGCTGTCTCTTTACCTAAACACAGTGGGATCAGAGAGAAACAGGCCGGTACAAGACAAGCTGTTGCCCCTCAGAGGAAGGGTAGACGGGACGACAGCCTTGAAGGAGGAGGCAGAGGCATGAGGACCCCGTGACTGCGGGCCAGGCTATGCGCATTCCATTGTTGCCCCGCACCTGTTTGCAGGCAGGTCGGGGGCAGCCCTTCCTCCCAGACAGACCTGTGTCCTGTTCCACTTTCCTTTTACTGCTTAACCATTTCACTCCCTGTCCCTCACAAAATTACAAATGCTTTCCTTTCACCTGTGAGGGCCCATTCTTAGGCAGGTCCCCCACACAAGGTGGGAGAACAGAACCAATGGGCGCAAAAGCAGTTTCCTGCTCAGCAGGCCCCCCACAAAGGTGGGGTCTCTCTTCTGAACAGCAGGCCTGGGGCTGGTTCTCATAGGACAAACGTGATTGGTGGAGAGGTGAACGTGTGGCCTGTGTGTCCAATGAGGGCTCACCCGGGCCTCTTGGAATGTGCCCACTGGCCAGGAAGGAGCAGGGTGGGTGTTTCCAGGGAAGCGGACAGAGGTCCTGGGAAGGGACTGTGGAAGCAGCAGGCCCTGAGCATCCAGCCCCCAGCTCTGCAGCCCGTCACCCACCTCCTCCCACTGGTTCAGGCGCTGCCTTTACCACAGGCCACGTTGGCCTCATCGGGAACTGCTCCTGGCCTCTCTCCTGCTCCCCTGATTTATTCGCGCCTAACTATTCTACAATCTCTTTTTAGTGCCCTCCCATAGTGGGTGAGGCCTCCCGTCCCCTACTGACCTGTCACCTTCCTAGATAGGCTGTCTATCCCCAGGTGCTCTCACATTTTATTGGGACAAACGCATAGACGAGGCGCATCCCTCCACGTCCGCATGTCTCTGTCTGGAAGGTCCCCGGTTGCCCCTCCTTCCCCTCTGTCCTTCCTGTGGCTACACTTGCAGTGGTTCCTGGACATCTTGCACAGGGCTTAGCAGACTCCCTTCTCTTTGCTTGTTGCCGGGAGTGGGCTGCTCCCCTGTTCCCAGAAGTTGGGGTGGAGTGCAGGAAAGGGGTACAGGCTGAGCTCCCATCCGTGCTGCGAGCCTCGGCAAGAGAAGGCGACCCCGAGAGCCAGGCGTTGCCCTGGTACCCCACAATCCAGGTTCAGTCTCAGTCTCCAGGCTGGAGGGGCGGGGGAGGCCGAGAGAAGACACGCCCCTCCGGAAGCCCACGCCGGCCCGAGCCTCATCCCCAGGCCTCTGTTGGGGGGCACCTGCAGTGCCGGGGCCCCTCTCCCCACTCCACAACCTCAGGATCAGGGCCTGGACTTCTCCCAACTGGGGGATCCGCTGGGGGCCTGGGCCCTGGTCCACCGCTCGCGGCCCCCAGAGGTGGCTGTTTTTGCTGTCTGTGCTCATCGAAGTATGGTATTTCAAATGTTTTGACATTTAAAATCTGTGTTGAATACATTTGTTTTGTTTAAATTATGCCCGGCTGTGGTGACTCACGGGAATTGGTTTGTCTCCTGGGCCCAGGCCCGGCATCCCCCTGCACCCCAGCCCAGCCCCCGGCCCAGAGCTGCCCCTCGACCGCACCAGCCCATCATCGTCCTGTGGGAGGACCTCCAGACCGCCACTTGAGCTCAGTGGACGCAGGAGAGAAGGGTGCCCGGGAGAGGCCACTCACAAGCACCCAGCGGGTGACTAGTGATGGGCACAAGGGCTGGCAAGTGTGGAAAGGACGCCTGCCGAGGGCCCACGCGGCCCCTGTCTGACGTGTTTGTCCTCTAGTTTAGGGGAGTCTTTTTCAAAAGGAGCCAGAGGTGACCTCAGCCACCATCTCCTGGATGCCTACAGTCCTCCCAAGCGGGACCCGGAGCACTGTGGGGCGGGCAGGACTTGCGGAGGCATCGGCCAATGCCCTGAAGAGAGGGCCGTGTGAGCTGCCCTGCTCGGGACAGAGGTCTGACATCCAGGAGGCCCAGGAGGCGAACCCATCGGCGTTCTAGAGCCTCCAGCACCTCTTGGCTTCCTGCTGGCCGCTGCCGCATTAGGAGGACAGAGCTGGACGGTCCTTACCCTGCTGAGACAGTCCTTGTCTACCATCGAGGAGACCTCCACGCGGGACCCTCGGCTCTGCTCTCAGGGCTGTGCGCAAACCCGAGTTAGGAGGTGGAGGGGGCAGCCTGGAGCCCGGGGCACCCCCGTGCAGACCCCGGGAACCAGGTGGGGCCAGTGCAGGTGTCTCTCCAGGTGCAGCCGTTTGCTCTTTGACTCTGAAGTTCACGTGAGCGTTAAGGGCGGCGGCAGTCGGGTAGGGGGCATGGAGAAGAGGCACCGCCCCCTCACAAGGGCTCCCGAGCTCACACTTAGAAGCTCAGGCGTCGGAACGTGGCGTGAGGACCAGCGTGCTCAAAAGCCAGCGGCAAACGCAGTTTTACGCCAGAGGCTTGTTACTCCGGGGCCCTGGGAGGTGATGCGGGTTCAGGACCAGCTCAGTGGGAGGCCCGTTCCCCATCGCTGGTCAGGGCCACACACGTGCACTGGCGGGTTTGCGTCCCTGTCAGCAACGCCAGTGGCAGCTCAGGGAGGCCACAGCTTCTCGGGCTGAGCAGGTGCCCGTGAAGGCGGGTCTCAGCCTGGTGTCGCTGAGGAGCTGGGCTCCAGCTCAAGTCCAGGTCCAGCCGCTCTGAGCTGGTGACTTTGGCAAAGCCCCTCGTCACCCGGAGACTCAGTTTCCCCAGAGGCAGAGAAACGTGGAAGGTGGAGGTGCCAACGAGAAGCGCTTTTCAACGCGCTCAGAGGAAGTGGGGCGGGGGGCGGGTCTTCCCTTCATGTCCTAACGTGAGCTGTACGTGTGCAGGACGAGGGACGCTGGGTGAGCCATCCTGGAGAGAAGTCAGGAGGGACCGCTTCCTTGTCCAGACCCAGGAACGCAGAGCCCCGGCCCCTCACCGCAGCGGGGGTGCCCCAGGGTTTTACTCCACACTGTGTACAGGCTGAGGGCTCCCCAAGCTGACAGAGAGTCTGCAAACCTCCCCCAGAAAGCCAGGGCTGTGGGAGCAGGCAGAGTCAGTCTGGGAACAGACAGACCGAGCGCTGCCCACGCTCCAACCCCTACACCTGGGCCGGTGGGCGGGGCGGGTGCCAGGGCGCGTCCCCTGCCCCAGCCTCACGGGCCGCCCCTCTCCACCTCTCGCAGATCAACACCTTCATGTCTTTCGTGTTCCCCATGGTGGCCATCTCCGTCCTGAACACCATCATTGCCAACAAGCTGACCGTGATGGTCCGCCAGGCGGCCGAGCAGGGCCAGGTGCGCACAGTTGGGGACCAGCATAGCTCGTTCAGCATGTCCATCGAGCCCGGCCGGGTCCAGGCCCTGCGCCACGGCGTCCGGGTCTTACGTACGTAACCACTGGGCCCTGCGAGGGGCGGGCGGCGGGCGGCCACCAGGGGCCAGCAAAGCAGCGAGCTGGGTACCACAAACAGAAGGTTTAGAGACCCTGGGAACGGAGCGCGTCCGGGCCGAGGCTCAGAGTGCCGGCTCCCCCTGGGGTCGGGGCTTCTCTTGACTCCCTCACTCATCCATCCATACATCCACCGATTCAGCAAGCCTCCTGGCACCGGCTGAGTCGGACAGTTTGCTCACAAAGCCAGGGCCGCAGAGTTGGGGTCCCCATGCGTGCCGGGCAGTCGGGTGCCAGCTGGAGAGGCCAGAGGTGCAGTCCCTCTGCACAGATTCTAGTAGGGAATCCTGAAGGCCTGAAGGATCGTGTGGGGTGGACCCTACATTTCTGTGGGTTGTGAGGGTCCATCCTCCCTCTGTGTGTCCCCGGGCCTGGCCTGGGCCTGCAGGTGCATCATGAGGAGGGGTCCTCAAAACAACCTGCCCCTCCGTGCTCTCCTGAGGCAGCCCCGGCCCCCCCGGTCCCCCAGAGTGCCTACCCTGTGCTTCCCACCACCCCAGGATCCACGCCCCATCTCCCCCCTGCCCCGGGCTGCCTGCCCCTCACCTTTGCAGGTCTTGGAAGGAAAAGGTCCCCGCAGCTCTGTCCAAAAGGAACATGATGCAGGCCCCACATGGGATGTTAAATGGTCCAGTAACCACCTTTTTAAATAGTCAAAAGAGACAGGTAATATTCACTTGGATCATTTATTGCTCCAGTATTTCCAAAACAGCATGATGTCTGCATCCGCCCACAGCATGCGATTGACGGGAGAGTGACTCGGGTGTGCTTCGCACCCGGGCCGGCTCAGCCCCCACAGCCGCGGGTCAGGTGACCAGGGCGGCAGTGTTTGCTTCTGCTGTGTGCGGGCGGGCTTTCTGGAGCAGCCCGGTGCCACCAACCCCTGCTGCCAGCAGGCAGTGCCTCCGTTGGGACCTCCCCGGCCCAGGGTCTCCGCAAGCCCCCCAGAGGGCCGCAGCCCTGGAGCGGGGATCCCAAAGCCAGGACCTCCCACAGATCCCCCCACATCCCCAAGAAGATGACGCACCTCTCGGGGAGCACCCTTCTCTCTGCCCCGGGACAGCACGCTTGGCCCGAAGTTTTCCCAGGTGGTTGGGTGCTTTCTTTTGCGTTGTGGTGAATATACAGGGCATAAAATTGACCATCTTGACCGTTTCTAAGTGCACAGCGGAGCAGCAGTGTGGATGCCCATGTTGCTGTGCGGCTGTCACCACCGACCCTCCCGCCTTGTAAGACTGAAACTCTTCCCATTAAACACCAAGTCCCCACCCCCTCCCCCAGCCCCTGACAACCACCTTCTACTTTCCGTCTCTGTGCATTTGACTCCTCCAGGGACCTCCTTTAGGTGGAATCACACAGTATTTGGGTTTTTTGTGACTGGTTTATTCATATGGTGTAATGTCTTCAAGGTTCATCTGTGCTGTAGCCTGTGTCAGAACGTCCTTGCTTTTGAGGGCTGAATAATATCCTGTTGTACGGATGGACCACATTTGGTTTATCGGTCATCCATTGATTTCAGCCGCTCTGAATAGTACTGCTGCTATGAGCTACTGGTATCTGTTTGAACTCCTGCTTCCAGTTCTTTGGGGGCACAAACCCAGGAGTAGAATTTTAATTTATTGAATTAAAAAATATTTTTAAACAGCCAAACTGTTTTCTAAAGTGGCTGTACCATTTTACATTCCCACCGACAGTGTACAAATGTTCCAGTTTCTCCATATCCTCCCCCAAATTACTCTTTTCTGTGTTTTTCTTTTATAGGAGCTATCCTGTTGGGTATGAGGTGGTATCCTATTGTAGTTTTGATTTGCATTCCGCTAGTGATCAGTGATGTTAAGCATCTTTTCATGTGCTTATCGGCCATTGGTATCTCTTCTTCGGAGAAATGTCTATTCAAGTCCTCTGCCTGCCTTTGTATTGGGTTGTTTGATTTTTGTTGTTGAGTTTTCTATATGCCCAGGATATTAATCCCTTATCAGATATGTGATGCAAATATTTTCTCCCATTCTGAAGGTTGCCTTTTCGCTCTGTCAATTGTGACCTTTAATACACAGTTATTTATTTTTATATAGTCCAAATTATTTATTTTTTCCCTTGTTGTCTTTTCAAATTCAATGTTGTGAAATTTTTGTCCTATATTTTCTTCTAAGAATTTTATACCTTAGCTTTTATGTTTAGATCTTTGATCCATTTTGAGTTAATTTTTGCAGATGGTGTGAGGTAAGGGGACAGCTTTATTCTTTTGCATGTGGGGATCCAGTTTTCCCAGAACATTTGTTGAAAAGACAGCCCTTTTCCCTTTGACCTTGGCGCCCTGTAGAAAGTCATTTGACTATATATGGGAGGGCTTATTTCTGGGTCCTCTGTTCTAGTCCATGGGTCTATACGTCTGTCCTCATGCCATTACCACTCTGTTTGGATGACTGTAGCTTTGTGGTAGGTTTTGAAGTCAGGAAGGGTGAGTCCTCCAGCTTTGTTCTTCTTTCTCGAGATTGTCTTGTCTGTCCAGCATCCCTTGAGATTCCCAATGAATTCTTCTATTTCTGCAAAAAATGTCATCAGGATTTCCATAGACATTCCACTGAATCTCTAGATCACTTTGGGCAGCATTGTCATCTTAACACTATTAGCTGTTTCAGTCCACGAACACGGGGCATCTCCCTCCACCTCCCTGAGGCCCATATCCCTCCATGTCTCAGGTGCCGTGGTCATCGCCTTCGTGGTCTGCTGGCTGCCCTACCATGTGCGACGCCTCATGTTCAGCTACATTTCGGACGAGCAGTGGACCCCGTGAGTATGGGAGGCTGGGGCCGAAGGGGTGAGGCTTGGGCTGGGGGCATGCTTCCCAAAACAGTTGAGTGTAGGGGTTGGGGGCACTGAGAGGGGCAGCTCAGGGTGGGCGGGTCAGCATCCCCCGACAGGCCCTCAGGTGTGGCTGTGATAGGGCAGGGAAGGCAGAGTCCGTAGAGGGACAGACACCCTGGAAGCTGCTTCGTAAAAGGAAAGCAAGTCCTAAAACAGTCAGTACAAGACAGGTTTGGGGGCGTCTGGAGAGCGACAGGAAGGGCTGGCGCTGCTGGCTGTGGGAGGAGTGATGGCGACTGTCGGGGCCCCCAGACCACCCCCAGCCTGGAGGAGTTGCCAGGAGGACCCCTGGGACTCCGAGAGCATCACACCCGCACTGCGACGTATGGACGCCGGCCTCGCCAGCTGGCCTCCCCGCAACGGTAGCCTCAGCCCCGCTGCGTGAGCTCCTCTGCATAGCGGGGCTGCCAGGTCCCAGGGTTGTGGGCTCTTCCAAGTGTTGGGGAGCCACTAGGGAGGGAAAATCTAGAAAGGATGAAGAGAAGGTACAGGGCATGGAACACAGCCCAAAGTAAAGGGGTTCTGAAACTCAGGGCCACCTGGTAGTGAAGCGAGCAGCAAGATGAGGGGGTGAGATCCCTGTGCACAGAGGCAAGCAAGTCGAGATGAGGTGCACAGCTGTCTGGGAGGTGCAGAGGGGGTTCCTGGCCTGGCTGTTCCGTTGAGGCCAGGCCTTGGCCACGTCCTGCAGCCCTGAGCGGGGGCTGGGATTCTGCACAAGGAAAGGCAGGCCAGCTGAGCTGCAGGGAAAGGTGGAGACTGCGGCCAAGGGGGACTGCACAGCTGGCCTCGGGTGGGCGGCTGCAGCTCAGCTCGGCATTTCAGCTGACTGGTGCCAGGCGGGAGTGTGCTCAGAACTTCCAACCTCTCAAGAGAAACCAGAGCCCTGGAATTTATTGTGAAATATCCCCACTTCAAAAGATGTCCAAGTAGTCTGCAATGACTGTCCCAGGCCCCCGCGTCAGCCACGGGCTGCCCCGTGCGGGCTGTGTCTGGCCCGCCAGCCTGAGCGTCCTCTCCCACCCCAGGTTCCTGTATGACTTCTACCACTACTTCTACATGCTGACCAACGCCCTCTTCTACGTCAGCTCCACCATCAACCCCGTGCTGTACAACCTCGTCTCCGCCAACTTCCGCCAGATCTTCCTGTCCACGCTGGCCTGCCTGTGTCCCCTGTGGGGGCACAGGAGGAGGAGGCCGGCCTTCTCAAGGAAGGCCAGCAGCGTGTCCGGAAGCCACACCTTCTCCAGCAATGTCACCCGGGAGACGCTGTACTAGGCCCGGGCGGGGCCAGGCGGGGGGCCGGGAGGGGTCACAGAGGGGCTGCCACTCGGCCTCCACGCCTGTCCGCCCAGCGCCTGTGAGCTGGACGGGGGTCGGCCCTGGGCCCGCTCCGAGGCATCCGAGGCCCAGGACCCAGCACCCACACCCAGAGGCTGCACTTCCTTTCGGCTTCTCCTCTCTCACCCTCCCCCGCACCCCTTCTCTTTCAAAGCCAGAAAGAGAGACAGATCCTCTCCCAGATCCAAAACGGGCCTTTAATGAGGAGAAATTAGTGTTGGGTGAAAGGCGATCTTTTTGTTCTCAGACTAATGGATGTTGAGGGAGAAAGACATGAAGGGGTAGGTTGGGGCCGGAGGGTGGTGACCCCGAGAGCTGGCGCTGGGAGGAGCCCGGTTGGCAGGACCACCGCTGTCCCGGCACCGCCGAGAGGGCCTCCGGGCAGCTCAGGACCGGGTCAGCCCCTTGTGCAGCAGGCATCCGACCCACCACCTTTCCAAGGGCGAATCCCAGGAAGCTTTGATGTCACAAGAGGTCAATGAAGGGATCAGCCTGGCATCGCCCAGCCCTGGCAGCACCCCCCACCGCCGCCTGTCCTCCCCAGGCCAAGGTGGCAAAGCTCTGCAGGGACACCACAGGGCAGCTCAGCCTCGCAGTTCTCCATCCTGGCTCTGTGGACACAAGGCCAGGTCAGTGGGTCCCAGGATAGGCACGTCCTCACACGCTCTCCCTCCCGCTGTCCAGCTGAGCTCCTGCGGCCCAGCTCCCACTGCTTCAGGGTGGACGCCGCAAGGCAGAGGGGAGCCGGCCAGCACTCCAAAAGAGGCCAGCGCTGAGGTCCGGGCCACAGGTATGGAGGAGGGGCCCTGGGTACAGGCGGCCCACTGGCTGGCAGCCAGGCGGGGGCCCAGACTCGTTTGTCACGGCCAGCAGGCAGGCCTGGCCCCAGCTCGGGTGCCCAGAAAGGCAGGCGCCTCCTTGGACTCTGGAATCCGGTCTCCAGACAGGATGGCCCGGCCCCAGGAAGGTGCCCTGAACCAGGGGAAGGCGGGTCCCAGGGGAGCTGCCCTGGACCAGCCGGGACCACGAGTGGCCAGGGGCCCAGAAGCGAAGCGCAGGCCTTTTAAAGCAGGTCCTCCCTGGGCCTGGGAGCACATCTGCCCAGAAGGGAGACAGTCAGACAGACAGACAGACAGGCAGACCGCCTGCCTGGGAGGCACTGACTCAGGATCAGGTGACCTGCTCCTGGTCTGGAGTTAGCCGGGACTCGGTCTCCCACGCTCCAAAACAACGAGTCAGATACTACGATATCCACGGCCACTTCAGATCTGGGCTCTGCTATGAATCGGGGTATTATATACTTGAGCCCCACAAAATCCTCCCCCAAGCTGTTCACCAAGAACAGGCCTGGGGGCAGGCCCACAGCTAGTCCCCAGGCCAGGCAGCCCTCCTGTGACCCAGTGGCCACCAGTGCAGGGGACGAGGCCAGCCTGGAGCTCCCACACAGGCATCTGCTCTGGGCAGGGGACACGGGAGTCCAGCAGATGGGCCCGAGGTCAGTGCAGCCCCCAGCCCTGCTCAGCGAGTGGGCATCAGAGTTCAGCAAAGACTGAGTCTGGGCTCCGGCGTCGGCTTCAGAAGGAGGACCTGGACTCTTTGTGACAGGTCCTCAGACCCTCCCTGGGCCCCAGACACACCATGATTCCCCTGAGCCCTGGGTTCCCTACCTGAGAAGTGGGCGTGGTCATCCCACCCTCTCGGCCAGGGCTGGATGTGATGGCCCTGGAGGACCCAGCCCAGAGCGGACAGAAGGGACGGTCCCCTGAGGTGGGGGCAGAGTGGACGTGGGATGAGATGCCCGCTGCCCAGACCCTGCTGCGGGCAGACGGGCAGGGTCTGCCGCTGAGCCCGAGTCCACTTTACTGTCTGCCCACTTCACTGTCTGCCCACTTCACGTTGGTGGGGCCCCGTGTCCGTGCCCTGCCAGACACTCCTCCTGACCTCCCCAGCTCCCGGCCCGTCACCGTGGAGCCCCAGAGGCTAGCTCTGTGTGCCGCGTGTGTCTGCTCTCAGAGCCAAGTGCCCGCGTGGCTGGGCACAGTGATTGTGAAACCCTGGGGTGTGCGCTGACCCCCACCACCCCACATGTCCTGCAGTGACAGGTACATCCTCCGACTCCCTCAATAAGGGAATAAAGGAGGCTGTGGATCCGTGACACACTCCCACGCGGAAGGGCCGGTGGGCCCGCCTGCAGCTGCTGGCTCACTCGCTCATTCATGAGAAGGTCACTGACACGGCAGATGGCCCCCGACTGGGTCCTTTTACTGAAAACACATGCGCTTGGTCTCTGAGAGCCCAGAGTCGGGAGACCTGGGTCCACAGTGGCTGTGTGGTGACGCCCTGTCCCTCAGGGTCCTGATCTGTGGCCTGGGCACAGGTGAGGCCCAACAAAGTGCAGTGTGGGGGTCCTGTGACTGTTTGCCCCGGTCTCCACGGCCCTTCCGACCAGCTCAGGGAACCGAGGGAAAAACCAGCTCCTCCCTGGGGGCCGGCAGGTGGGGAGCCAGGCCAGGGAGGGGCACTCAGTCTGTCTTCAGACACAGCCGCCCTGTCTGGAGCCTCCCGGCAGCAGCGGGACCTTCTGCAGCGGGGTGCCCCCCGCCTCCCCTTTCCTCTTCCCCTGCTCTGCCTTTATCTCACCGCAGCAGGATCCTCGGAGGCCCCCAGCCTGGGGGACGAGAAGGAAAGCATCTTTCCAGATGGCAGGCACTTTGTCCTCCCCCTTGAGTCTCCTCGGCAGTCTTCCCCACGCTCCCCTTCATTCATTCATTTACCTGCCAGGTGCCCCTCGAGGCCTGGCTGCCTCAAAGCCACCCCATTCTGATTGGCACAGGGCTGCTCAAGGCCTCTGTGCTTTGACTCACCCGCCTTACCAGCAGGGAAGTCTCAGAACTCCCACCGACTCTGAGGGTAAAGGATTCACTGGCAAAAGCTCCAGTAGGGGCAATGACATTTTACAAGAATAGCCAAAGGAATGAAACTCCAACAGTGAAGTTCAGGCCAGTCACGGAGAGAGACATTTGGGGACAATGGCAGGCTGTCCCAAACCCTAGCTGCACCTCAATGCCACTGTCCCATGGGGCCAGAGCTCTGGACGAGCCCCTGCCCACCTCCTGCAGGTTTGCTGAGTTCCAGCACAGGGACAAGAGAGGAATCCACTCTCCTATAGGGAGACACCTCTGGCCCCATCGCTGTCGCTAGGCAACAGGAGGAGGGCTTGGGAGAGAATTCCATACATTTTAAAATACATTTGAAGAAAGAAAAAACCCAGCCAGTGGCTGGCTGCAGGGACCTGAGAATGGGATAGCTGCCCCCCATCCAACTCCCCCCCCCCCCCCCCCCCCCCCCCCCCCCCCTCCCCCCCACCCCCTCCTGCCTCCCACTTGCCCCCCACTGCTTCCCACGATTAGGATTTGAATTCCAATTTTTATCAGAACACCACAGAAACCCCACCCAGGCTGAACTGATGAAGGAGAGAATGGGACAAGGGGAAGGCTCGGAGCCAGCTGGGGAAGGAAGAGAGGCAGGACGAGGGGCCACGAGCGGCTGCCCCTCCAACCGGGAGGGTCCCCCCAGCGCACACGCGCCCCCAATCCCACCTTCCCTCCTCCTGCTCTCGGAACCCCCGGGGACCCCAGCGAAGCTATAAGGAAACTTCGAGGGAGTCGCCTGCCACAGCCAAGGACGCCCCGGGAGGAAGTGGGAGCGCGCGTCCAGCCAGCTCCCAGCACCTGCACGGGGCTCCAGTGCGGCCACAGCTGCAGAACTTCCGGCTCGCCTACATGTCTACCTACCCACCTCTTCACTCCTCAAGGAATGTGAGCTCAGCCTCCAGGGAGAGAATTGGACCCGGATGGAGCGGGAGTGAGGCCCGAGAGGTGGGCTGGGCTGGACCCAGTCCCCCCACCCGGAGCCCCCGCCTGTCTAGCTTGCTGTGCGCACATTAACTTTCAAGATGCAAAACGTTTATCTTTTATGATAAAAGCAATTCATTGTCTCATGAAAAACTGAAGTAACATGAAAGGACAAAGTACAGAGTGAAGTCTCTGCTTAGCACCACCTGGAGGTAATCAGGCTGGCAGACGGGCGAGCACAACACCCGGGGCTGTGGGCATTGCCAGCCGCTGCCGACAAAAGTGCCAGTCCTTGAATGGAGCGCACGCTGCCACGTGCACACACACGCACACATACGCACACACACGCACACACACACGTGCACACACACACGCGTACATGCGCACACATACATGCATACACACACGTGCACGCACACACGTATACATGCAAGCACACATGTATATGCATGCGCGCACATACACACACATGCGTGCACACATGCGTGCACATACACACACATGCACGTGCACACACACACGTGCGGCTGCAGCCATGTCAGTGCACACAGCGCTCCCCCCTTCCTTTGTGTGCACCCAAAAAGCCATTTTTTAGACACAAAGTTAAAATAAATTTCTGACATTCAGATGTTTCCAAAAGCAAATTTTCCTGTGCAGGTGAGAGGTCCCCGAGTGTCCAAGCAGAGGACATGCCATGTCCCAACAGGCCTCAGCTGACCCCATGGGAGCCCAGAGACGGGGATGGCTCTTCAGGGGTGTCTTGGGGGGTTGGGACGGGGAGCCCTTTATACCCCTCCCCCCTTTCCTTATCGGGCTGTCACTGGATGCAGCCCAGGGGAGGCTGAGGGGACAGCAATGAGGGCAGGGACAGGAAAGGGAGACAGGAAGGGGGGAACGGCAGGGAAGGGACACGAAACACCCGGCTGCCCTCTCTCGGGTTGTGCGACCTGGCAGGAGTCGCCGGGCCCCTCCATGCCTTGGTTTCCGTGTCTGCTCCACAGGGAGCGGGGTGGTTCCTTTAACTGGTGAGGGAACTGAGGCTCAGAGTGGGTCTCTGCCAACGTCACCTGGGGTCCGCAGCAAGGCAGAGGACACTCAGGTCTCCCAGCTCCGGCCTGGCCCTCCCTGCACCGGGACCCCCTCTCCCCACCCTGCCTCTGGCCGCAGGTCCACAGCCCCGGGCAGCTGCTCCGCCCTCATCAGTCCACCTGCCCCACACCAGGGATCACTTCCCCGTCCCCATTCCTCCAAACGCGCTGTTCCTGGACAACTAATGAGCACACAGATCACAACCTCTGCCACCCAGGGTTATCTGAGGAGCCTGATGGAGACGTGAAAACCTCATTTCAAAACCACCTGTGCCACCCTTGGTGCCTCAGCAGGAGCAGGGAGGGGGTGCCCGAGAAACCATCAAATTGCCCTCCCCCACCCTCCCAGGTACTTGGGGCATCCCCGCCCCCCCAGGCCCATGGTAGCTCTAATCCAGCGAGGCTGCTTGGAGGAAGCAGCAAGGGGGGCATCCCTGGCTACACTCCCCCAGAGCCCACCGAGTGGCTGGAGATTCCCGTGGACAGATGTACGTGAGCCCCTCCTGAGTGCCAGGCCCGGGCTGTTTGGGGACCCAGTGGTGCTGCAGCAGGGCAGGGGGGGCACAGATGAGAATGAGGAAAACAGACAAGGAGGTGAGAATCGTGGGGTGGGCTCTCAGGGAGCAGACAGAGAGAGTGGCTGGGAGGGGCACGCTCCCTCGGGGGGTGGGAGGGTGACACCTGTGTGGCCAGAGCAGGAGAGCCAAGGGTAGAAGGGGGACAGGTGGGCAGGGCTGGACGGCAGGGCTGGCTTTATTCTGAGCTCCTTGAGGACACGCCGGTGGGGGCGGCATTACAGACATTACAGGAGTCGGCCCAGCCCAGCGATGGGACCCTGGTGTCCACAGAGAGCCGGGCCAGCAGGGCAGCCAGCACTGCAGGCTGTCAGTCCACATTAGTCACTTCTCTTGGGCCCAGATTACCCTTAATCACTCAGTTCCTTCTCCCGGCTGTCAGGCTCCTCCCTCATCATTCGTCTGCATTAGAAAGGGACGCTTCCAGAAGGACCTCAGGAGGCAGAGCCCCGCCTCCTGTCTGATGGCGCAGACCCCTACCTGAGGTGACCCCAAGGCTGAAGGGGCCTGGAGCTGCCCACACGGTCCCCTCACATCTGACAACGGTCCCCTGGGGTTCCCACCGGTCCCCACAGCCCAGCCCACCAGTCTGCACCTGTTTCCATCACTCGACACATTTAATGAGCACCTACTGTATGCACCCAGCTGGGAGGGAGCAGCTCGTCGGGGGTTCAGGGTGGGAGGCCTCCTTGGCCTCAGTTCAGGCCCCTCTCAGTGCAGCACCACCCCCCAACACCAGGCTGTCTGGTTCTTGGACCCCCTGCACTGGGGCTCCAGTAGGGAGCCTGGGAAGCTGCATTTACCCAGAAGTTATGGGGTCCGGCCTGGGATGGACTGGCCCCTTTCGAGCTTCCCAGCAGCGCCAGAAGATGCCCCTGCATTGTCCCTAGTTTACTGATGGGAGAAGGGCCTGGGGAAAGGCCTGTGTCCCTGAGTAGCTTGTCCCCCAGCCCCTGCCCACTGCTGGTGTGGGAATCCAGCCTCAGTGGGGATGAGTAGGGAAGGAATTTTAAGGCCCACCTTCCACCCTGGGGTCCCTGGGGTCCCTGGGATCCTGATCCCCTTTCCTCCACCCCAACCCCAGCCAGAGCAGCCCTGGCCTCAGCCCTTGGGGCCCCAAGAAGCCAGAGAGGCAGATTCTTACATGGCGAGGTGGCATCCGTGACCAGGAGGGTGAATGTGTTCACTAGAGCACGTGTGGTCAACGGGTGTGTCTTCTTGGCTCTAGAAGAGGTGTGATCACATCTCTCGGCAGATGACCAGAGCTGCTGGCGCTCCTGAAAAGAAAAGGCAAATCTGCCTGGCTCCCACACACACAGGAGGCACTCATCTCGGCTGCCCAGATGCCCTGCCTGCCACCTCCCGCGCAGAGGGAGGTGCCAGCCGGCTGAGCGGGTATGTAACCGCTTTCCCATCCGTCCAGAAAGCCAGCCCCACACGTAATTCAAGGACAGCCTTGCTGCTGGGCCCCGAAAACACCAGGCTGAGCTCGGGGTTCTGTAAAGGCAAGTGCCTGTCGGTGACTTTGACTGACTTTCCACTGATTACCTGCCGGGGAGCCCAAAATAACTCCCCAAAGTGCAAGCCTCAGGGTGAGTCCTGACCGAGACCTGATTCTACATCTCGTCTTTTCATTGTTTTTTATTTTATTTTTATTTTTTAAAACATTTTTTATTTCTTTAATGTTGTGTCTATTTTATTTATTTATTTTGGGCTGCGTTGGGTCTTCGTTGCTGCACGCAGGCTTTCTCTAGTTGCGGTGAGCTGGGGCTACTCTTCATTGCGGTGCGCGGGCTTCTCATTGCGGGGGCTTCTCTTGTTGTGGAGCACGGGCTCTAGGCGCGTGGGCTTCAGTAGTTGTGGCACGCGGGCTTAGTTGCTCCGTGGCATGTGAGATCTTCCCACACCAGGGCTCAAACCCGTGTCCCCTGCATTGGCAGGCGGATTCTTAACCACTGCACCACCAGGAAGCCCCATTGTTTGCTTTTTAAAATCTACCTTTTTCATACATATAGATACCATTTTTCAAATAGATGATATATACACACCGTGCAGCACGAAAAGAGGTGCAAAGCTGATGCCAAGAAACATCACCATCCCGTACCTCCCCCACCGCTCCTCTGGTCCTCTCCAGAGGCAGCCCCCACAGGGAAGTGGGTGACCAGGTGGTCCTTCTTGAACACCCAGCCTGCCACCTCTGACTGCAGCTATGGATCCTTCCATGTCAGGCTCACATACGGATCTGCCTAGCCCCTGGAGCCACGTCACGGGCAGAGGGACTTGGCAGAGGTGATTAAGCTCGGGGGAGAGCCTCCTGGGTTCCCAGGTGGGCCCACTGTGGTCGCGTGAGCCCAGCCTGGACAAACGGGCAGCGGCTCCATCCTGGAGCCTCCCGGTTGGAGCTCAGTGGGTGACACTGTGATTTCAGCCTGCGGACCAAGCAGAGGGCCCAGCTGAGCCCTGCAGCGTCTGCCCCGCGGAATGTGAAGGAGTAGGCTGTGCTGCCTAGCGCTGCTGCTCTGTGGTCATTTGTCGCGGCTGCCGCTGGGGCGTCAAGGAACTGATAGTGTCCCGCTGTGGGCTTCACTGCAGCACACTTACCAGCTCCCTGTGGCTGCAAACCTACATTCTGTTCGGTCTTTTCCTGTTAAGAAACTTTTGCAGTAAGTATCGTTGCACGCTGTCTGGTGCACATGCCGTGCAGGTCAACCTGCTCGTGAGCCCTGAGTTAACCCTCT